TTCTCTCTAACCTCTTATTCCACTCTTCTACATATACTTTTGGTCCAGTCATACTGTGCTTTTTTTCCTGAAAATTTTATGCTGTTTCATTTGTCAGCCTTCATACCTTTGTACATGACTTCCTTTTGCCTGGAATCCTTCTCTATTTCTTGACCTAATTAACTTGTGCTGTACATTTGTATCTTTCTTTGTCAGTACTTATTTTGACCTAAATCATCTTTTTTCCTAACTCCTGCTGGGCTAGAATAAAGAAAGACCTTGTTAATGTCAACAGAGTACTTAATAAGGTCAAGTGTGTGACAGTGTCAATAAAATTTTATATGTACAATTTGTCACAGCTAATGGCGATATGGATAATCTGTCCGAGAATGCCCTGGAGTTGGCAATTATTGTACTCCATAGCTCTATGAATTGTGATCAAACAGATAGATAGATGTTTGTATGGTTTTCAAAGCTGATAAGTTAAAATAAATAAAAGGTTCTAGCATTTTCCCAGTAATTTTGTAAAGATATTCATGTTTAAGTATTTTCCTTTATCACTTAGGTAAGAAACTGAAAGCAATTTCTTTTTGTAATGATGTATCTCATACTAATAAAATTTGAAATACTTAAATGTTATTCATTTACTATATTTTAACCATTTTATAGGGAACAGTTAGGAGTTATAAAGTAAACCCTAAACACAGAAGAACCTTGTCTTTAGAAAGTTTATAATCCATTTTGTGATATTTCATCCTCTATACCAGAGCCCCCTGAATGAAAACCATAGCATCCTATGACTAAAGAATGTAGATGATTATTGTAGAAATAGAATATACCATTATAATAAAGGAAGGATTGTAATGTGTAGAAAAACTGATATTGATTCATTTTAGTATATAATTAATCATGGCACAAGCTATCGGATGTGTTATCACATACACAAAATTAATAGTTTTTATCTATATGTGCTTATGTGTTTACTCAATAGCATATATATGTAGAAATCTCCATATGACACAAGGAGATCACTGAATAAAAATTCAAATACAGAAACTGATTATATTTACTGATTGAACATCAGAGTTGTGGTCCTAGCCTGGTATATTTATTAATAATGGAGAAAATTCACTGATTTTTTGTGATTTTTAAATTTTGATTCTCATGGATACTGTATTTAAAACTAAACTTAGATATGGCAGACCATTTTAGAACTTAAGGCTGTTGTAAAGTAACTAAGCAACAGAGGAACTCTGGATAATGGACTTTGTGATATTCAATTCAAGGGCATTTGTTTTCTTTCCAGTACAAGGAGAAATGATATTCAGCAAGGCCAGATTTGTGCATTATAGCATGTTAGAAAGAATCCAAGGCTAAAGATCATGAGACCTGAGTTCTAGTCCCATCACTGAGGCTTATTAGTTGGTGTGATCTGGGGTAAATCATCTAATCTTTCCAGGTTTCCAATTTCTTTACTTTTGAATGAACATAATGGACCAGAGTATTTTATGTTCTCTCTAGTTTTAAAATCCCATGATTCTTTATTTTCTATCTCTGGAGCTAGATTTTTTTTTTTGAAAGCAGATCGATTTTGTATTGTAAAAGGACAATAGAGTTTGCTAATGCTCTTAAAGATTTATGTACTTGGAAGTTGAGCATACCGATTTTGAAACTTTTATTATTCAAAAATGAGTTTCGTACTTCTTTGGAGCTTAGGTTTTAGAGATTAGTCCAGAAGAGTTTTTCTTTAAAATCTCTGGTGTAGTGCTATTCAATCACTCTTTTTCCCGTGTACTGTGTCCCTACTGTCCAATATGGTAGCTACTATCCACGTGTGGCTATTGAGCACTTGAACTATGGCTAGTGAAACTGAGCAATTGAATTTTTAGCTTATTTTAATTGTAATTAAATTAAATTTAAACTGTAATTAGTGGCTCCCATATTGAACAGCACAGTGCTCTAGCATGTGTGTGTATGTGTGCATGCGTTTGAATGCATATGCATGCTGAGTAGGGAGTGGGGTAGCAGAACATAGAGGGAGTGAAAGATCATTATTTTGGATGCTGTCCATACTTTACTGCTTAGGATGTACATGAAGTGGAATTTAACCAAATCCATGAATCTACTTTTGCTTGTTTCTTTTTTTGCATTCCATGATATATTATGATAACCATTTTATATACTAAACAAACAACATAATTGTTAAAATAATTATATATTTTTCTAATTAACCTATAGTTTTAAAGCTAGATATTTCCAGTAAATTAAGCATGATGCACCAGTTAAATTTTATTATCTTACTCATCCTTAAAATCTTTTGTTGTATGAATCTGTGAATGGGGTTTATGATTCATTTGGAATGTGCTGGAAATTATCCTGTTTATAGTAAAGTATATAGTTCAGAGTCATGAGTTTGCTCCTTGCTGTGTGACCTTATGTAAATTATTTATCTGTTTTAAGCCTCAGCTTCATCATCTGTGAAATAAGGATAATAGTAACACCTCCTGTGGTTTTTATGAGGGTGAGATTAGATGGTGAATTATGTAAAGCACCTAATATATTGTCTAGTAATTAATAATAAAAATGATGATGACAATAGTTTGGGGGGTTGTTTTT